GACAGGCAGGGTGTGGAGCCGCCCCTCTGCAGCCCACCTCCGCCCAGGTGATGCTCGCCAGAGCGGGAGGGGGCCGGGGGGCTGTGGGCCTCGGAGGGCGGCAGGCTCGGGGATGTGGGCTGCGCTACTGCGGCACTTATCTCTTTCGGCACAGCAGCAAGCCGCCGCATCCAAATGTCTCATATCGAGATGCCAGGCCTTGGGTGGGAGAGGAAGCCGAGATGCGGGAGAGGGCGAGAAGAAAGAAGGCCGGGAGACCCTGAGCCCGGGCAATAAGGGGAGGGATACAGCGGAAACCACTCTTGGGGCACGTCCTAGTAGAGTGGAACGGGCCTTCGGGAGGCCAAAGGCTCCGAGGTCGCTGGGGTCAAGAGCTCCAGCCCTCACCTTCCTTCCCACCCTCTTCCACTCCACCTCCTACCCCCAACCAGGATGTGGCTTGGCCGCCGGGCCCTCTGCGCGCTGGTCCTGCTGCTCGCCTGCGCTTCGTTGGGGCTCCTGTACGCGAGCACCCGAGAAGCACCGGGCCTCCGGACCCCTTCTGCGCTGTGGACATCCCAGCAGGGCGCCCCCAAGCCCGAACTGCCAGACCTTGCCCCTGATCCCCGTTACTCGCACATCCCGGTCAGGATCAAGGAGCAGGTGGTGGGGTGAGTGCCCACCGCAGCGGCGGCGAATGCTGGGGGGGGGGCGTCCCTGGGGAGCTTTTGTTTCCAGCGCTGCTTCGCTCAACGCCTCCTTTCTCCTGACTGGTTGCGTGAAGTGGGGTAGAGCCGGCTGCCGGCTGCCGAGGCTTGGCTGGGGAAAAAAGCAGCTCCCCCAGCCTTATGGCGATGAGGATGAGAAAATGTGCAGGCCAGGAAGGGCCCTTCAGAGGGGTTCCTGAATGGTGGGTAGTTAGTTCCCAAAACCCTAGTAATTGGACCTATTCTACACTTGTGTAAAATCGGGGATGGGTTATCTCATCTGTGGTCCTTTCTCCTGGGGACTATTTGGATAGGGAACACATAATGGCCGGACAGCGTTGAGGAGCCGAGGCATGCGGTGCTGTGTACACTGTGGGATGAATGTAGCTGGGCTCTAAAGATCCCTCTCTTGCCTTCAGGCTGTTGGCTCAGGACAACTGCAGTTGTGAGTCCAGTGGGGGGAGCCTCCCTCTTCCCTTCCAGAGACAGGTTCGAGCCATTGATCTCACCAAGGCCTTTGATCCTGAAGAGCTGAAGGCTGCCTCTGCTGCCCGGGAGCAGGAGTTCCAGGCCTTCCTTTCAAGGTATCAGCCAGAAGGGCAGGCATGACCCTGGGGAGAGGGCAGTGGAGGCCTGCAGTGGCTGTGCCAGGAGGGAGAGCCCCTCTCCTCCGGACTTTTCCTTTGTCTTCCCCTCCTCTGCCACCAGGAGCCAGTCCCCTGCTGACCAGCTGCTCATAGCCCCTGCCAACTCTCCCCTACAGTACCCCATGCAGGGTGTGGAGGTTCAGCCTCTGAGGAGCATCTTGGTGCCAGGTGGGTATAAGGGTCCTAGAGGATGGCCTAGGTACCTAACCATGGGGGTGGCATTGCCTGAGACAGGGAGTCAGAGCAGGGGTGAAGGAAGTTTGGAGTGAAAGGTGAGGACTTCTGTCCATAGGCAGGAATTGCAAAACCTGTAATGGGTTGGGGATCCTCTATTCTTTGCTAACTGGTCAAAGGTTAGGTGGATAGGTAGAACAGACCACAGAAGAGCTCCTGCTTTGATGGGAAGGAGTCAAAAACCAGTGACCCAGGATATCCTATGCAATGCCTGCCACTGAGGCCTCAAAAGAGATGGGTGAAAGTCTGAGTATTGTGTGTAATGAAAGGGGGAAATTAAGGAAGAGTTCAGAGCTGTCTGTGATTTTGATCATTCACCCTTCCTCCCAGGACTGAGCCTGCAGGCAGCTTCTGGTCAGGAGGTCTATCAGGTGAGAGAAAACAGGAGAGCAAGGAGGCCAGGTGGGCATCAAGAATTCTGGCAGAGAGACAGGGCCTCCAAGGGGGTGTGGAGTAATCAGGGAAACAAGAGGTAGACCTGATTGCACTTTCCAATCCCCTCTGCCAGGTGAACCTGACTGCCTCCCTGGGCACCTGGGATGTGGCAGGAGAAGTAATTGGAGTGACTCTCACTGGAGAGGGTCAGGCAGATCTCACCCTTGCCAGCCCAGAGCTGGATCAACTCAACCGGCAGCTGCAGCTGGTCACTTACAGCAGCCGAAGCTACCAGGCCAACACAGCAGACACAGGTGTGAGGCCTGGGTGCATTTAGGGGGAGGCTGGATGAACAGAAAGGCTTCAGTGGGACAATGCCAGAGGGTTGTGGGAGACACTTGGGCAGTGGCCGGAGTTGCCCAGCCGCACAATGGGCATTTCAGCCGGGCCAGCAGGACTGGGCTGGAGAAAGGGGGCCTTTGTTCCTCTGGGGCCAGAGCAGGCCAGAGGGAAACCCGAGTCTTGGGTGTGTCCCCACTTCTGGCCAACCATGGGGCCCCAGGAAGTGACTGGCTCCTGTGGCAAGAAGACTCAGGCTCTGTTCCCAGTCCATCACTTACTAGAGGACAAAGCCTTTATCTTGCAGAACATCCATTTTTCCTCTAGCGAAAGGGGCAAACAACCCTCTTGCCTTTCTCCAAAGCTTGTTTGTTACACTGTTTGCTTCAACCTTAGGCTCTTTGCATTTACTGTTCCCTCTGCAGGAATGTTCTTCCCCAAGATTTTTGCATGGCTGGCTTGCATTTAGATCTCTGCTCAGATGTCTTCTCTTCATCATTGCTGTGCATTACTCGTCTTCTATTCAATGCCCACCAGTATCTGAATTTTCTTATTTACCCTGGGAGCAGACTGAGTAGGCTCTTAGTAGCTTTGTTGTATAAATGTGGGGCATACTTTTCTGTGCCTCCACTACTTTTTCTGTTAGTTTTTTGTTCGGGGTTTTTGTTTGTTTGTGTTGATATCTCACTATGTAGTATAGTGTGTATAGTGTATCTATGTATGTGGTCTTGAATTCTCTGTATAGCCCAGGCTGGCTTTGGACTTGGAATCTTTCTGCCTCAGCTTCCTGAGTAGTGAGATCACAGCTGTGCACCCCCACACCCAGCTGAAGACTTTATGTTCTTGTCCACTGAGATCTAGAAAGGTTTTTGTGATAAATTTTTAGCCGTCTTATTTGTTGCTCCTCCAGCTATAGTAGTTGAGCATCTCTTTGAGGGTATACCCAATCATCTTTTGGGGTGCTGCTCTCCTAGAGTTTTTAAAAACTCTCCACCTCAGCCAGCAGTACACTGTGATGTCATCACATACTTGACATGACTGACACTATGTTCCTTACTGTTGGGACAAAAAGGAAAAGAAGCAGGAGTACAGCTCAACAGGACAGGTTTATTTCAGAACAAGCCTGAGAGGGACTACTGGCACTAGAGACCAGACCTGCTGGGGTCTTACAGGCTATAAGGTCTTTATAGGATCATGAGCATAACAAAGGAGGTCTGTGGAAGGAAAAAGTCTCAATGGGACTGTCAAAGGATAGAGTTCAGAACAAAGGCATTGTTGCTATCTGCCCAGGACAGGGCTTGAAGACTTACAAGGAGTTGGGTATTGTTTGTCAAGAGCGCGGTTAAACATTGATTGGGAATTATAGGGTATGACTGTGCTGGACCTTATCAACACATGTCACCTCTGCAGCAGGTGTAAAGCACACAGGGGGAGGGGATTTAAAGTGGTCTCTGCTTAGACCAGGATGGTGGTGGTCAGATCCCTTCACTTATATCCACTGAAAAGAGAATGCTGGGCTGTGGATTTAGCTCAGCAGTTCGGTGGCCTGCCTCGCAAGCACAAGGACCTGAGTTCAATCCCCGGTACCAAAAAAAAGAAAAAAAAAAAGAAAAAGAAAAAGAAAGGAGAATGTTGTCCTAACCTTAAGGTTGCAATCTCATGTCCTTTCTTCCCAGTCCGGTTCTCCACAGAGGGACACCAGGCTGCCTTCACCATCCGAATAAGACATCCTCCCAACCCCAGGCTGTACCCGCCTGGGTCTCAACCCCAGGGAGGTGAGGCCGGTGGGGGCAGGGAGGTGGCAGACCCAACCTTGGTGGAGAGCCCTGGGAGTGGGTCTTTCCTGTTTCTTCCCCCACTTGCCTTCTCTGCACCCAACCCGAGACTTCTCTCCCAGCCCAGTACAACATCAGCGCTCTCGTCACCATTGCCACCAAAACGTTCCTTCGATACGATCGGCTACGGGCCCTCATCGCCAGCATCCGACGCTTCTACCCCACCATCACCGTGATCGTCGCGGACGACAGCGACAAGCCAGAGAGCATCAGCGGCCCTCACGTGGAACACTATCTCATGCCCTTTGGCAAGGTGCGCAGCCTGCCAGGCGAGCTTGGCACCTGTGGACTTTGGGATGGGGTGTGTCCTTAGTCTAAGTCCCTCCAGGGTAGTAATTGGAAGATTTCCTCACTCGAGGGTTCCTGGAATGTAAGAACTTCAAAGAGGCAGGAATCCTGCCTGTCTGTTCACTCTGAATTCTTAGAATGGTGCTTAGTACCTGCTGGGCGCTCTGTAATCGAAGAATTAGTGAGTAATACAGGCTGGATTTAAAGCATTTGAGACCCTCTCCCACCGGAACACTCACTGCCCCTAGGAGAGAGGGTAGGAATCTGCACTTTTTGGACCTCACTTCCTGTAATTGGAAAGCACCCAGAAGTTTAGAGAAAGGTGTAGACTGTTTCAAAGAGTCTTGAGAGGAAAAAAAGCAGTAGAGAGGTGTGTCATTTCTAGACTTTAAAACCATACAACCCCCCACCGCGCACCCCCAGGGCTGGTTCGCAGGACGGAATCTGGCTGTGTCCCAAGTAACCACCAAGTATGTGCTGTGGGTGGACGATGACTTTATCTTCACCGCGCGCACGCGGCTGGAGAGGCTTGTGGACGTGCTGGAGCGGACGCCGCTGGACCTGGTAGGGGAGGGCAAGGCTGTCGTGTGGGACGAGGAGTGAAACAAAGGCGAGAGAGCTGCAGGAGAGAGGCCGAGGAAGTGGAGGGGGGTGCGGACGGAAGCTCTCCCCATCCTGAAGAGGCCAAGCGGCAGGGGATAGGGTGAGGGACCAAGTCCTGGGGAAGAAACACAAACCTACACTCTTGGGGTCCTCGCCCCACCCAGAGCCATCCTCCCACTCCCCGCAGGTGGGAGGTGCGGTGCGCGAGATCACAGGCTTTGCCACCACGTACCGGCAGCTGCTGAGAGTGGATCCTGGTGCCCCAGGCCGTGGGAACTGCTTCCGGCAAAGGCGCGGCTTTCACCACGAGCTCCTTGGCTTCCCAGGCTGCGTGGTCACAGACGGCGTGGTTAACTTCTTCCTGGCGCGCACCGACAAGGTGCGAGAGGTCGGCTTCGACCCTCGCCTCAGCCGTGTGGCACATCTGGGTGAGTGGATGCAACCAGCAACCAGGCACTGTGCACCAGCCCCCTCCCTGGCCATGCCTGTTGCTGCCACCCGGAGAACGGGGTGGGGGGGGCAGAACAGTTTGGCAAAGATCTATGGGGCTGGGGTGGGGTGGAATCCTACCCTCTCCCTCTCCCAAACCATGCAAATAGCAAATCCCCTTGCCCCCACAGCTGCTGTGGCCGCCTTTAACTTCCCCTTTCCCCGCCACTGCCCAGGTCACCCCCACTCCATTTGCATCTGCCTCCCCTAGCTCAGACCACACTCCAAGTAGTTCATCTGGCATCCGTTGACTCTGGGAAGGGAAAGTAGGTTTTCTCACTTTCAAAGCACGCGTGGTCTCCATTTTACATAAAACATTTACATGCCGAGGTCTTTAGGAAGGAGTCTTTCCATAGGTACCTCCTATGCCCTAAATTTCAGTTTAGGTTAGGTGTGGGCCTTCTGCACTCTCAGGAAACCTTCACTGTGTGCTCCCTTCACCTCTATCCCCAGAGTTCTTCCTGGACGGACTTGGTTCCCTTCAGGTTGGCTCCTGTTCAGATGTCATTGTGGATCATGCATCCAAGTTGAAGCTGCCGTGGGGATCAAGAGATGCAGGGGCAGAGACTTATGCCCGGTACCGTTACCCAGGATCACTGGATGAAAGTCAGGTGGCCAAACACCGCCTGCTCTTCTTCAAACACCGGCTGCAGTGCATGACTGCGGAATGATGGCCACAGAGCTTTCCCCTTGTCAGGCTGGGCCTGCCTCTTTGTCCCTGCCAGGATTTTCCAGCAACCCCACTGAGCACTCCACTGACTGTTCCTGACCTCCGTGTGTCCCTTACACCTCCCCTGAGAACCTGGTCTCAAACAGGGGTTTGTCCTGGTGACACCTCTCTCTTCCGAGTGCCCAGGGGCCCGATGGAGCCATAACTTCTCCTACAGCCAGTGCCAAGTCCTCCCCTACCCCATGCTTATGGGGCACAAAATGAGGGGGGGTCACTTTCCAAGTGCCAAAGAGCCCAGGAGGACTCCAAGACCCTGAAGAGGAAACACTCTCATCTCATCCCCTTGGGACTGAGGGGTCAGGAAGCTCCCCATTGTGCAATCCCAGGGCTATGCCACCCCACCCTGAGCTCTGGATCCAGGACTCTGTGCACCGGCTCCAGCCCACCCCCAGAGAGAATGTGTGGCTCTGGAGTGGGTGGGGCTGGTGAACACATGGTGAAAGCCATTTTTATTCGTGTCTCTGTCGTGCTGTGGGCACAGAGGGAGGGGAACCAGGCATCCACATGCAGACACCCAGGCTCACTTCATGGACCCCAGAGGCTCTCGGCTTCATTTTATTAGTCACATTAAGCAGGCTTAGGGACCATGGCCCTTTTCATACACAAATTGTCAGAGCCTTCCACATCCCAAGTGATCTGGTCAGATCCATACTGTGCAGATCTTTGGGCCAGTATGTTCCTGGAGAAGAGAGGGAACAGGTTGGAGTAGATTAGGTACCTGCTCCCTTGCTGAGATTTAGCACTATTGTGCCACACTTTTGGAATCTAAATTCTTAAGTTCTTCCAGTCTGGTCCAGTCTCCCAGACTCGGTTTTGACCTCCCCACTCTTTCCTCTCCAGCTCCTTTCCCCAGTTCCTGTTCCTCAGTCTTCAGCCACTCACCCACCACTTTCCTTGCCCTTGCCCAGCACTTCCTGATCCCACTCCTGATGCTCCTGCCCCTTACCAGTCTTTCCAGGGCATGCGCAGCTGCATCCTGGACACTCACAAATAGCTGGTCTGGAGTCACTCTGTCCAGGAGTCCTGCCCGGGTCAGTGTTTCCAGTACTGAGGCTGTGTGGATAGAGTGTCAGGCTCGGGGCCCTAACTCTCCACTGTGTCCTCCCCTCACCACTCCACACGTCCAGTCATTCCCTGGTCATGCATTCCTCCATCCTCCACACTACTGACCATTACAGTGAGCTAGGAGAAGGTAGATCCCAGCATCTTGGCATTGGCTGGCTAGCTGCAGGGATGAGGCAGAGAAGTTGAACCCCAAATGAGAGGATATGAGTGGAATGATAAGGGTTTCTTCTAAAACTACCCACTTCCTCACCTGTGCCACTTCCCTGGCTGCAGCAGCATCTGCAAAGGTAACACCACCGAAGTCTAGGATCATCACTCTGACAGGCTCACTAACTAAGATGGGAGAAAGCAGGAATATTCATATAGCTCTGTAGATTGTGCCCAAGTCTTCCTCCTTGGCATCCCGTCTCACCTGTGTCAGGTAGGCCATCTGGCTTTGGAGATTCCTATAAGTAGACAAGGGCAGTCATCGTCCCCAAGACATAAGCAGGAACACGGACCTCTTGAGCACAGAGTCCTCCTCAGGACACACCTGCCTCCCAGTCCCAGAGGATCCACTCTCCTCCCTGGCTAAGTTCCTCACCTTGCCTCTTCCAAGCCCCAGGTGCCATTCCACAATGCGGCGAAACTGACCACGGGTCCCAAAGTAGAGTGGTGTTGGGTAGCTCAGGATGCAGAGACCTGGGACCTGGAGGAGCTAAGGGTGAGAGGGTAAGAAGAACATTCAGGTCTAATTTTCCCTTCCTTCTTTGGTCATAGCCCACCCACCTTGTGACTCTCTCTGAGTGGCCTGTACAGCTCCGTCCCCTCAGCCAATCCAAGTGCCAGGCACTTCACCCTAAGGAAGAAGCTGGGGTCAGATTCCCAGCCCAGTCTGGCCTATCTTCATCCTCCACATCCTGTTCTCCCTCATCTTGGCTCATCTCTGTACCCACCTCTGGGTGCGACAGACCACCATCATCATGGAGAAGACCACACCCACAGCCAGGCCCAGGTCCACATTTAGGGTCACAACAGCCACCCATGTGACCATCCACACAGCCTGCAGGACGTAGATCGGGGTGGATGACCAGAAGACTGGGGTCCAAGGGCAGTGACTGCCATTGGCAGATGACAGAGAGGAAGAGCCCAGGAGAAAGTAAGAAATGACAGCGAAAGGGACAGGATTGACCCAGAGGGATACCCATGACACATGAGGACCTCAGACCACACTTCATTTGGGGAGTTATAAAGATTCAGGCCTGACGGGGTCAAAGGCCACCCTTTCTCTTGTCTCTCAGTAAAGGGTTTTAGAAGGCATGTGTGTTGGGGTGAGTGGTTGCAGACTTAGGACCAGGATAATCATAGCTGGCCCAGGGCAAAGGCTAGCAATGTTGGGAAGATGGGGACAAGATCGCCATTTCTCACAAAGTCCACTCGGCTGATGTGCCACAGTTGTGGAAGTTCCTGCATCTGGAAGAACATCTGGCGCATGCTGGAGATGTTGATGCAAGCCAGGACAGCCTTGGGGCAGAGAAGGTGGGCTGACTTCCCCAGTGTCCTGGAATACAGCCACCCCCCTTCAGGTACATCCAAGCCTCCTCTGCTCCCTACCTTGGGCAGATAGTAGAAGAAGGGTCCCAGCCACAGCAGCACCAACAGAACCACTGTGCAGGAGAAGACACCTGCCAACTACAGAGGATGAGGGAAGGAAGAATGGAAGGGAGGGAAGCTCTCTCCCTCTCAGATGAGACCTGATCTCCCCACACACACTGCCTCATCTTCCTCAGAAATCTCCTTCGACACAGATACTTCTCACTCCTCAACCCTCTTCTTGATATTCTGCCATTCACACATACCCCTCCCCCTTGCCCCAATTAAATGCCTCTCATTCACCCCTCTCTCCCAGATGGATAGAGTTCACATACTATAGTGGGCTATTTTTGTAGTCATTTCCATCTTCAAAGCCACTGTTGGATCATCCATAAGCAGGCTAACTGCTTGCTTACAACACCAGTAAAGTAAGAAAAGCCAAAGCTATAGACACTGATAGCTGATTTTTTTTTTTTTTTAGACAGGATCTCACTCTGAGTTTCAAGCTGGCCTTGAACTCACAATGTAGCCCCACACTGGCCTCAAACTTGATGCAATCCTCCTGCCTCAGCCTCCCAAGTGCTGTGATTTCAGGCATGCACCACCATACCCAGATTGTCATGTTTCTTTTAGAAAAAAAAGTTTGTTCCACCAGGGACGGTGGTACACATCTGTAATCTTAGAACTTGAAAGGGTGAGGTAAGAGGATTGCCAGTCTGGGCTTCATAGTGAGTTCAAGGTCAATCTGAACTACATAGCAAGAGCTTGTCTAAAAAAACAAAACAAACAACAACAACAACAACAAAAACCCAAAAAGACAGAAAAGACAATGTTCTCACCAGGTGTCATGATGCATGCCTGTAATCCCAGTATTTAAGAGGCTGAAGCAGGAGGACTACAAATTCCAGCCCAGGCTGGGCAATTTAGTTACTTAGTGAGACCCTGTCTCATAAATAACAAAAAGGGCTGGGATGTACCTCAGCGTGAAATCCCTGGGTTCAATCCCCAGTATGGAGGGTGGGACGGGAGCTATCCTCATTGAAAAGAAACAAATTTTGGGCTAGGGATGTAGATCAGTGGGCAATTTGCCTAGCATGCATGAGGCTTTTGATCCCCAGTACCAAACACAAAAAAAAATCAAAATTTCACCTTTTAACTTTATTTTATAGTTTAGTATTGTTTTACTTATATCTGGGACACATAAACTTTTTCAGTAATTAAAGCTTACAAAGGTCACCGTGAAACTGAAGCCTTGCTATCTTCTATCACTCCTGTCTATAAATCCCACCCTTTATTCCCTGGCCCTTGATTCCCATTCTCCTCTGTTTAGATGCCCCCAAGGAACTACCAGTCTCCCACCACTGCCACACAGCCTGAATGTCTTATCCTTTCTCCTCACGCACAAACACCCTCTTACCTGAGTATTCCCACCGGCATCCACTAGTAGGCTGGTTGTGGCCAGCGTGGCGGAGTTAGGGAAGCAAGAGAAGAGGGAGGAAATGAGGTTGGAGACACCGTGGGCCAAGAGCTCCTGGAGAGACGCAGTGAGATGAAGAGGAGAGATACAAAGGCACGGGGTTGGGGGTTTGTCTTCTGAATGAGGCTGAGGGCCACAGTTAAAGTCATACCTGGTTGGGGTCAATGCTGTAGCTATACTTGTCTGCATAGATGGAGGCCAGCGAGGCAGACACGGCAAAAGTAACCAGTGCAATGGGCAGTGAGTCTGCCAGAATCCTGGGCAGCTCATCCAGGTTGGGGAGGAGGGGTTGGGGAAATCTGGAGAAAGAGGGATCCATGGTAAGGATGGGCTGGGTGCTGCAGGGAGAGGGGGAAGGCAGAGCAAATAGGGTTGGGCAGGACCAGAGGAGGTGCTGGTGGAAGAGTAGGGGAAGAAAAAGCTGGTATCTTTTCATTCTCTCTTACCCTGCAGGCAGCAGCCCCACTATTTGGACATTATATCTTGTGTCCAGGGAAGAGGTGAAGCAGAGCAGAGAAGCCAGAAGCACCTGGAGAGGAGAGCATGTCAGGTCTCACTAGGAAGAGAAGTCTAAAAGAGGTTCAAATGATGGAGGGTTACGATGCAAGACAAGGTGGTCACAGGACTCTAATAACTTGTGGGGCTGTGGTATGTTTGGAACGGGTGCCTGAAAGTTCATTTAAAGTCAAGGAGTGTGAGGATAGGAAAGAGGAATTGAAGCATTCCTTGGGTTTTGGAAAGATGCAAGTAAAGAGAGGACATCTATGTGGGTAGTCGATATCAAGAGGTGCAATTCAGCCATTCCAAGTAGGGAGGGTAGACTATATATAGGCCTACAGGGGGCATCTGTAAAGGCATGGAATATTTTTTAGTGGAAAGAGCAATCTAAGTGGAGAATGGAAAGGGAGATAAAACTAACAGTAAAGATTCCTGTGAGATGAGGAGTTATTTCAAGGAGCGACATTGCAAGGGGGCGCTGTATGGAGAAAGAAAGCATTGTAAGAGGTCTGGAGAGGGCTCACTATCAAAAGTGTGACAGTGTGTGTGGGTGGGGCATTCCGGAGGGTCAGAGCGCTCCGGAGGGAGCCCAAAGTACAGGAACTCTGTTTATGACCTCTGCGTTCCACAAGAGGGCAGCAGCGACCAGTTCCTACAGGCTGGGCAGGGTCCCAGCGGGACAGGGAACTGGGAGCCCAAGCCATCCTCACCACGACGACTTCCCCCGGGATCGGGGTGGGTAGTCTGTCTCGGAATCTCACGTTCAGTTCCTTGACCGGCACGAGCAGCGCCAGACTGAGTGCGGAGATGGTCAGTTCGGCCAGACTGCCCCGGGGCAGCGCCGTGACCACGGCGGCCAGCGTCTGTGGGCAGGGGCGGTGAGCAGAGGGCGGGTGCCCGGGCTGGCTGCCCCGCCCCAGCACCGACCCACCAGGCGGAGGCAAAGGTCACTCTCCTGGCTGTGTCTTCGGGGCTTCCACTCCTGCAGCACCCTCCCGCCGCCTCAAGGTGCCATGACCTCTTCTTCGGCCCCTCACACATCCACCCTCCACCCTCCATCCTTCCTCGCTTTTCAGGTGCCCTCTCTTCCCGCGATCTCTGGAAGTTTCAGCTCCGCTGTCTTCCCACCCCCACCTTGAAAAGGGAGAAGCAGCCCATCTGGCGCGGGAGAGATAACCCCAAAAGGCTTGGTAGCTGGGACACCAGCACGTGCAGCGCAGCCCCGCTGGTCAGCGCCTTGACCACGGGCTCGGACAAAAAGGTGGACAGGACACCAAGCTGCAGAGCAAACATCCCCAGCTGCGGGGGAGACGTTGTGCAGTCACCAAGGGCAGCAGGAGCAGAATGACCAGGGTGCGGTGCCCCAGCAGACCCCTCACACACACCTGTGCGTGAGGCTGCCGCTCCCTCCCCCGCTCCCTCCCCC